GGGGGGTGGCATCGCCTCCTTCAGTGTCGTTAAGAGACTTTTCAGTTGAGGCAACAAGGTCATCTTACTGAGAGTCAAGTGGAAAAAGAAAAAAGTATTTCAGTGTTTTCTATAATTAGACACCCAACCGTTTAAAAGTGGTGGCTCCGACTGTTTCCAAAATAACTGATAACTGCAGGTATTGTATCCTAGCTCCTTGTTTGAAAAAAAAAAAAAAAAAAACACAACACGCATGACCTCAGAAGTATATTGAAGCATATAATTTAGCTCCTGAAATAGATAGAAAGGGTTTACTCATTAACTGGCCATAAATTTAAAAAATGCAAAAACACCCTTTTTTAAATAACTGTCAAACACGTGCATGCAGTATCTATTATAATGCACACATCCCACATTTCCATTATTTTAGAGATCAACACAAAGTTGTAACACATCAATATTGCTGAGTTGACACTTCTGCTGAGCACTGATGTAATTTAAGTGTTTGAATCAGTCACCTGGAACAGAGAACTCCCTCACATCCTGTCAGAAGTCATTATACCCTGTTCGCCAAAGTCAGACCATTTTTTGCATTCTCATCATTCACCAGTTACAAAGCACGATGGCACCGAGCCAGACAGCCGCCAGCCAAAGTTCTGTAAAAGTCTGCATACAATTTCTGGAAAGAACAATTCAATTGAATGCCAATTAAAGAGAATCTAGAAGTTTCCTTGAAATAAAGAGTTGTATTTAAACAATAAGCATGCAATAAAACTTAAGATGAATGTGTTAACAGGAACGTTATTCGTCATGTTTGTCAAATTGTGAGCTTGCATGTTGATAAATGGTCGGCATGTTCACCTGACATGCTGTGCACTGACTGATCAGTTTGTCAGCACATCTGAAAGTAAAGTTTGAAGCAAACATTGGTGTGAGACTTTGACACAAGGGCCGCAGGGAGGACATCTGCTGAACACAGAGGCTCGTGACGGCATCCCTAGATTTGGGTAAGCTTCACCGTTTAAGGTCAATAACTTCAACCATCATGACCATCACGCCAGAGCTTCGCAAATTGAGGGTTTGACGCCCTATCCTAACCATAACCATTTAAGGTCGAAGCCAAATCTCAATCATCTTGTGAGAGTTTTGCTAATCGTGGGTGACCAACATGACGCGATGGGCAAAGAGCCTTTAAAAGAACAGGAAGCCAGCGTTAAAGGACCAGTGTGCCGCACTTCTGCTCTATCATTAGAAATGGAATATAACATTCATAACCATGTTTTCCTTGGTGTCAAATCACCCGGAAATATAAATTGTTGCGTTTTTGTTAGCTTAGAATGAGCCCTTCATCTCAACATAAGGAGTGTTTCTCAAAGTCAAGGATGCTTCCTTGGTAGGACGGGTCCTCCCAAGTCTGGTCCTGCAGTTGCAGTCTAGCGAGTGTGCTGTTGTGCAGAAAAAAAGGATGTTTAAAAAATGAATCTATTTAAAATAATTCAGTACATTTTAATTTCTAGTATGAATATTAATTTCGCAATCCTCAAAACAAGACACAGAATCAAAGCCATGTTGCTCCGCCATGTTTCCGGAGCAGGCCAGAACGGACCATGGAAACCATCTCACTTGGTCCACATTGGCAGACTGATTTTGCTACGTTGGCCTGAAACTTTAGATGTTCCAGCTCTCCATGTTCTTCCACTCCAGAAAAAGCATGTAAGTGAACCTTGAGCCATGACAGAGACTGTTTATTAACTGTCTGTTTGGACAAAAAGAGGGATTACACAATACTTTACAATTGAATGAATCCATCACTAAATAAAATATATTGAATTAAAAATGTATTTAATAATTCACTGAAAGAATGAACCGCTGAATCAAACAGTGAAAATGGAGCCCTAAAGCGTTTCTGAAGCTTGAAAAACTATTTGAAAATGCAATTTGAAAAAGTAAACAAAAAGAGAATCTAGATATACGTTATGCAAAAGATGCTCATAGTAATGCAAATATGTTACCGCTCACTTGTGAGGCGTCAGGTGTTATCTCTGGCTCCACCTTGTGTACTTAAAGGGTTAGTTCAACCACAAAAGTGTTGTGTATATACACCACACATTGATCTCCTGAACAAAAGTCCTGTATTTGACAAATGATCTGAGGAGAAAGGGTGAGATTCATTTTATCTCATGCGTTTAGGACATTTCCTTATCATTTCCTTATTTTTCTGTTGTGTTCCGTAGCTAAGTCGAGGGCTGATGTGTTGATAGTCTTGCTGTCTCCTTGCTGTATATTCTCTATTGATTCTGATTTGTTTGAGTTTCCTCAGGCAGCTTTATTTCTAGTCTAACAACCCAGTTCTGCACTTTATTCCAGTCACACCAGAACATGTAGCTGCGACAGAAGGAATAAACTATCGTTAAAATAAGGAAGTGCTCAATAAAACTAATAAAAATAATAAGGCCTGAGTAAACTACCGATTAAACAAGCTGATGTGTCTCTGGCTACAATGTTAGCATTTGAATGCGTTGGAAGGATGTACAAATGGAAGAAGTTTGCCAGAGGAAACACTTCCGTGACATTCGCCCCCGATTGTCAATCGCATCATTTAGAAGTCGTTAATGAAAGTAAAGCTGAGAGTTTGATGCTGATCCCGTTTTCCAGGTGAAAAGCCATACAAATGCTCCCTCTGTGAGGCGACGTTCAACAGGAAGGACAAAGTGAAGCGACACATGCTCATCCATGAACCCTTCAAGAAATACAAGTGTCCGTTTAGGTGAGTCTCTCCGGTGGAAACAAGACCTGTTAGCTTATTTAACTTCCCTTGTTCCTACTTCATTCAAGCCTTTTCAACTTTCAACTTTTCTCACGTCTATCCTTCTTCTCCTTTGTCCTCCTCATTTGTGCTTTTCTGTTAGACTGTCTTACAGGTTATTTCATTTCATTGAATGCAATTTGTGTGTTTTTTTGTCATCAGGACACATGTGGGCTGCACCAAAGAATTCAACAGGCCAGACAAACTCAAGGCCCACATTCTGTCACATTCTGGTGAGTGAATATTACCAGTAATCATTTTCATCTGAACAAAGATGACGGAATATTGCTTGTGATGTTCTCGTGATGTTGTAGAAATAATAAAAAGTCCTTTCCCACAAATAAGTGATCAGATTGACTACATTACATATTGGTGGTCACCCAGATGTGGAAATATTGCTGTTGGATGAATGACTTTTTTGTAGTCATACCTAAGACTTGACTGGACATCATAAGGGCATGTTTGCAGGGCCAATAGATTCAATAAAAAGATAGAAATATCATGTTTAGGTGTAGAAGTCTGGAGCAGCTTCAAATGAGAGAGAATTGTTTGTATCACTGAAACGTCAGTTTGCAGTTACATATAGTACATGTTTGCATAAGGCATAAATTAAACGAGGTAAACCCTTTATGAGTGTCAAAATGACGTTTAAAACCCACAGGACCCGAGAGCCCCCCACGGGGGGCTGTTTTAGAGTGTGCAGCATTCAGCGTGTCGTAGAAAGCATTTTTCATAAAGAAATATGATTATTGCTCCAGACATATTAAATATCGAATTAACGGGAAAAGTCCGAGCAACATCATCACACCAGCCATTGTAAACACTGCAAACACAATTATACATGAACTAATATCATATCTGGAAGATATCTAGAAGATTTGCCACAATTTTGGCCAAAAATCGACGACCTATGCTCACTCTACGGCTCTCTCATCACGGAGCAGGATCGCACATGGCGGATGAACACAATGCAGGAGGGGCACGATTCGACCCGGAAACGCACAGCGGCGTCCAAATTACTCTCTTTCAAACCGTTCAAAAGTTATGGGTATGCATGCCAACATCAGCCACAGGTCACGAGAAAAATAATTGGGTAAAAAAAACTTACGTTTTGACGGTTTTGGCGATGAAAAACGGATTTATTCGAGCCGATTTTTGCACAGCTCTGCCCGCCATGTTCTGCTGCATGTCTGTGAGTGAGATCAATGCGCTGGCGGAATGAATCACAAAATGACAGACGATTCTGTGGGGTGGAGCAATCCATGTACAGAGGGGGGTTCGCCCAGCATTTGCGATTTTTAGTCAGTAAACAGACCCGGATACGATCAAACACCCCTGCATGGCTCCCGTTGGACTATCCCGCATCTAAAAATGTCTCACACCAGTAAATCGGCCTTACCAAAGTCACATAGACACACATTATGAGCCATTTATTGTTATGAATGACAGATATGACACATCATATCTGCTCAAAATTATTCAAAATGGTGTCAAACTGATTTATTTGGATTATTGAACACTCTTAGTGATAAGAAAAGTGAATATATAGTTAATATTTAGTTATATAGTATATAAAATTAGTATACAGCAATGCAACAGCTGGTTCTGAAAATCAAAATTTTGATTTTTATGACCATTTATGCTGGCCTGCTTCACTCAATCGAAGTAAAATATGTTGTGGGGACATATAAAACGTGTTGTTCTATGACTGTGGCGTGGTTTTAGGCTTGCAGCTGCATTATTTAAAAAACAAAAAATGTTCAATACAAGTGCTTTTTTTCAGGCAAACCTAGAAATTTTTCAATTTGAGCTGTGCCATAAGTGTATCAGTTATTAACCAGAAACATATACACAATATTTACACAATTCAACACATCTCACAAGTGTTACCAGTATTCTTGCATCAAAATTATTAAAATAGACCTTGTAGTTAGAGCTCGGGACTCTCTTGAGTATGGCTATGCAATTTTCGAGCAGAGGCCTAAAAATAGGGCTAGGGTCCTATGAGTTAATTGATTCTTATGAACTCCTCTTCCCTCCAGGTATCAAACCCTACAAGTGTCTTTTTTGTCAGAAGGCGTTCAGCCGCAGGGCCCACATGCTGGAGCATCAGCAGTCCCACACAGATAACTACCGCTTCAGATGCTCCACCTGCAACAAGGGCTTCACCAGACAGAGCTATTACAGAGATCACAAATGTCCTGCAGCAGGAAACGGGACGGGAAGTGAAGGAGGGACCGGAGAGGCGGAGCGAGACAAGCTGGTGGGAGCGGCAGAGGAGAAGGATGGAGAGGATGACGGGAGAAGAAGCAGGTTCTTGAGAAGAGAAAATATGTCGGGCGGTGCTGACGGAGAGAATGACCACAGCTCAAAGGGCAGCCAAGAGCAGGAAACACACGAGGAGGAGGAGGAGGAAGAAGAGGAGGAGGAAGATGAAGAGGGGAGGAGGGCTGACGAGGGTTGTCAGGCTGCAATGACTATCACCAGCATTGAAGGACAGGAGGAGGAGGAGGATGAAGATGAAGATGAGGAGGAGGATGATGACGGGATGGAACATGGTGTTATGGTACTGGATCACATTCAGAGCAATGACCAAAACTGTTTGCAGCAGCAATGTTTGTAGTTTTAAGCACGATCTTAGTTGCAACGTTTCCCGGACATGGACCAAACAAACTAAGCTATCCATAATTTGTTTTGTTTTTAAGTCTGGGAAATGATTTGTTTTATATTAAAACGTTAAATTACATACACTGATTTTACTGTAAAGTAAGTAGGTCTACAGTTTGTTATGTTGTATCTATACTACCAAAATAACCAGTGGACCATTTCCATGTACTTGTGTACAATCATTGCGCAAGATGAGCCACAGTGTTCATTTAAAATGTCATAATGTCAAAAGCAACAGAAACATTTTGTCTAATTCTGTGTAGCGAAGAGTAAATTATTTTAAGGTTACCCGTGTCTCAACGTTTATTTGTGTCCATATAAAGGTTCTTTGTTGTTGAACCAACAGTAAACTTGTTTACTTCTACTTCAGTTGGTGATTTCTTAAACTAAAGAATTTTACCATCCATCATGTAGATCAGGGGTGTCGAACTCATTTTCACTCTGGGCCACATCACATCAGCATCAGGGTCGCCCTCAAAGGGCCGGTTGTAACTGTAAGACTGTATAACTGTAACTACTCCTAACATATTGTTAAATAACTCTCTCTGCTTTTGATTATTGTTTATTCAAGTGTAAAAATATTGTACATGCAGTTATATAAATGTAAAAATATATTTAAGCACATTTCTGTTATTATAACATAAATCATTTTAATTTAGGGTTAATTAACCCACATTACTCTATCAAAGATCAAACTGTTAAAGAAAATAACAAAGACAAATATCAAACAAGTTATTACATTGACTTTGTTCAAAGCTATTTTTGTCACCTCTCTGCATCACTAATGTCCTGCCCTGCCGTCGTCCCGTGCATGGCAGCTACATCCAAGAGCTCCTCACTGAGAGTCAGGTCTGCCTTGAGCCTCTTATGAACATTGATAGATGATGTATCTCGTCTCTCAGCTAGCTGTGTTGTTAGATTGCTGCTAGTTCCTGAACTCGGTCTGCGATGGTGTTTCTTCACAAACTGACATTTGTAAAAATCTGTATCTGGCCGGAGCTCACCTGCTCACATACCTTTAGCGTGCACTGGGCTGTAGCTTGTGTAAATATATTCTGCTGTGATTGCAGTCTGCCTTTTCATTCTTGGACAATTTGATGTTTTTCTTGGAGGCTAAATGTAGCTCCGTGTTTGGTGTCAAAATGCCGACGTGAATTGTATCCTTCATCACCGACACTGCCTCATAACACTGAAGACAGACCCGTTGTTCTCCCTGAAGCACAGACATGTATCCGCTTTCCCATCTTAAATTACATTTTCTTCCCTCTGCATCAATTTTTCTCTTCGTGGACATTTTGGGATTATTTGTCATCTTTTTCAACTCAATCACTTGTTGGAAAACCTCTTTACGGCCTGTTCCCTCTCCTGTCCACCTGTTTAAAAAAAAAAGGTAATAACTAATTAACCATATTGTTACCAAGTGACTGTTAGGAGGACAAGTAATCAATGTCCAGCCACGGTGATAACACTTCACAACTTTCTATCTCATAATTTCAACTTTCTATCTCATAATTTTGACCATGGGGATATTTTTATTTTCAAGTCTAACTTTAAATTTTTTTTCCAAAATTAAAAAAAACAAAAAACAACTTTTTATTTATTTTTTTGCTGGTGGATTCGCGGGCCACATAAAATGACGTGGCGGGCCGGATTCGGCCTGCGGGCCTTGAGTTTGACACTTGTGATGTAGATGATGTCACCGGACCAATTCCAGCTGCTGGAGAAACCCAAGTTTTGTAATAATAATGAAAACATGATGAAATAACCAAATGCTGGATGTACAAATAGCCTAAATGTGTTATATTATTACATATTTATTTCAAATATGTGTATGCTGTTAGTGGTTTGATATTGACACATGCAAAATAGGTCTATATATAATACATTGTTTCAAAGGAAACAATGTATGAATAAACAATGAAATAAATTGGAAGACAAGACCTAAGCTACGAGTGTGAACATGTATAGAATAGACTAAATAGTCTGAAGATTAATATTACATTGAAAATGTATGGCTTGATCAAACACAATACTCTATAGAGCGTTTATGGACATAATATGAAGTATAAATCATCTGTAAAATCATCACAATCTCAGGAAGATATTAGTCAACCTCTGAGGTTTGAAAGTGGGCATTCAAAGTTAGTTTCCAAGGCTAACTACGGTCGGATGCAGGCAGACGAGCTGCCGCTAACGTTAGCTAGCTTGTCAGCTAACGTTAGCGGTAGCTCTTAGCTAGCTTGTCAGCTAACGTTAGCGGTAGCTCTTAGCTAGCTTGTCAGCTAACGTTAGCGGTAGCTCTTAGCTAGCTTGTCAGCTAACGTTAGCGGTAGCTCTTAGCTAGCTTGACAGCTACTACTACTATTAACAAACGTGATGTTTAAGCTCCCGGTTACGTTAGCTAGCTTGTCAGCTACGAACGTCACGTAACTTAACCGATCATTTTAACAAGTGTGATCTTATAATGTACTATATATACAGTATATAGTACATATATATAGTTGTATTCATTCAAGGCACAAACATTTTTGATTTAATTTATTAAGTTGACCATTTCTATATTACACATCTTTCATGTACATCAGCAATTAAACAGGAAAAAGAAAATATAGCATTACCATAAACCTCTTAAACCTTTCTTTTAGAAAAGAAAAAATTGTTATTGACACCATTTACAAGTTGTTTTCATATACAGGTGAGTGACAGTGGTTTAGTTGCATGGAGGATTCTGGGAAACAACATAAAAGCAGTGAATTATGATATTCACACGTTTGCCAACTTCTATATCCCTGGGATTTTAATTTGTGATCGACCCAGAACAAGATTAAAACAATACTCTGCAAAAATGTAAATAGGCAACTTCACCTATTAACTTTTAATCATGATACATTTGTTATATTTCACTGATTTTGTCTCAGTAGTTGTTAAGCTGAAGTCACAATTAGCCATCGAAAAAAAGGCCGTGTGTCATCAGCTCAAGTCTTTTAGCTTTTCCACGCCGGTGCAGTTTCTTCAAAAGAACCAAGAGCTGGCAGGACCTTGGCTTTTAAACCTCCACTGTACCACACAGAGACCCATAAGGCAGACTACACTTACACACAAGAGTAAACTCATTCACACAGAAAGAGAAGGGACAAGAATTGGGAGAAGATTAAGCAGTTTCAGACAACACACAACAACAACTGGCTTTGTATCTCTGATCAGTGACATCTGGATGAAGCACAGACAGGAAACAATGATGCCTGAGTTATTTTACAAGATGTTAATGAGTTGATGCAGTTTGGGATCTTAGCATGTTTTCAATGCATAGTTTAGAATTATTTGAATCTATTTTTTAAAGTTTTTTTACAGTTATCAAACGGTTGCATGATTTTTAAACATGCCGACATGATATGAGATTTTAGCACGTTTCAATGCACAGATTAAAGGAACAGTGTGTCACATTTAGGGGGATTTATTGGCAAACTAAGACTCCTTGTGTTTTCATTAGCTTAGCTCATACCTACATAGGGAGCAAGTCCTCTTCCACGTAGTCCGCCATACATGCACCGCCATGTTTCCACAGCAGGCCAGAACGGACAAACCAAACACGGGCTCTAGCGGGAACCTTTCATGTTTCAACGTTAGCTGAAGGTAGGGATGGGTAACCTGGTATTAAAAAGGGCCTCCTAACACAGTTTGGATTTTCAAGCGTTGTATGGTTTAGTATCTGAAAAATGATTCAATGTATTATCAGAAACTGGGATTTTGGCACATTTGAATTGTTTAGTGATTTTTGAGGATAGGGTTAGAATGTATTTTAGGTTTTTCAAACGGTTTCTATAAGCTTTCAACATATCAATGTATTTAAAGAGAGACTAGGGAGAGAGATACATGCTTTGCTTGTAGGAGGAAACCTGATTTTTATTTTGAAGCCCCCCTAAAAT